AAGAAGTGGAAGACACTACCACTGAAGAAGTGGAAGACACTACCACTGAAGAAGTGGAAGACACTACCACTGAAGAAGTGGAAGACACTACCACTGAAGAAGTGGAAGACACTACCACTGAAGAAGTGGACGACACTACCACTGAAGAAGTGGAAGACCTACCACTGAAGAAGTGGAAGACACTACCACTGAAGAAGTGGAAGACACTACCACTGAAGAAGTGGAAGACACTACCACTGAAGAAGTGGAAGACACTACCACTGAAGAAGTGGAAGACACTACCACTGAAGAAGTGGAAGACACTACCACTGAAGAAGTGGAAGACACTACCACTGAAGAAGTGGAAGACACTACCCACTGAAGAAGTGGAAGACACTACCACTGAAGAAGTGGAAGACACTACCACTGAAGAAGTGGACGACACTACCACTGAAGAAGTGGAAGACACTACCACTGAAGAAGTGGAAGACACTACCACTGAAGAAGTGGAAGACACTACCACTGAAGAAGTGGACGACACTACCACTGAAGAAGTGGAAGACACTACCACTGAAGAAGTGGAAGACACTACCACTGAAGAAGTGGACGACACTACCACTGAAGAAGTGGAAGACACTACCACTGAAGAAGTGGAAGACACTACCACTGAAGAGTGGAAGACACTACCACTGAAGAAGTGGAAGACACTACCACTGAAGAAGTGGAAGACACTACCACTGAAGAAGTGGACGACACTACCACTGAAGAAGTGGAAGACACTACCACTGAAGAAGTGGAAGACACTACCACTGAAGAAGTGGAAGACACTACCACTGAAGAAGTGGACGACACTACCACTGAAGAAGTGGAAGACACTACCACTGAAGAAGTGGAAGACCACTACCACTGAAGAAGTGGACGACTCTACCACTGAAAGTGGAAGACACTACCAATGAAGAAGTGGAAGACACTACCACTGAAGAAGTGGAAGACACTACCACTGAAGAAGTGGAAGACACTACCACTGAAGAAGTGGAAGACACTACCACTGAAGAAGTGGAAGACACTACCACTGAAGAAGTGAAGACACTACCACTGAAGAAGTGGACGACACTACCACTGAAGAAGTGGAAGACACTACCACTGAAGAATGGAAGACACTACCACTGAAGAAGTGGAAGACACTACCACTGAAGAAGTGGACGACACTACCACTGAAGAAGTGGAAGACACTACCACTGAAGAAGTGGAAGACACTACCACTGAAGAAGTGGACGACTCTACCACTGAAGAAGTGGAAGACACTACCACTGAAGAAGTGGAAGACACTACCACTGAAGAAGTGGAAGACACTACCACTGAAGAAGTGGAAGACACTACCACTGAAGAAGTGGAAGACACTACCACTGAAGAAGTGGACGACACTACCACTGGAGAAGTGGACGACTCTACCACTGAAGAAGTGGAAGACACTACCACTGAAGAAGTGGAAGACACTACCACTGAAGAAGTGGAAGACACTACCACTGAAGAAGTGGAAGACACTACCACTGAAGAAGTGGAAGACACTACCACTGAAGAAGTGGAAGACACTACCACTGAAGAAGTGGAAGACACTACCACTGAAGAAGTGGACGACACTACCACTGAAGAAGTGGAAGACACTACCACTGAAGAAGTGGAAGACACTACCACTGAAGAAGTGGACGACACTACCACTGGAGAAGTGGACGACACTACCACTGAAGAAGTGGAAGACACTACCACTGGAGAAGTGGACGACACTACCACTGAAGAAGTGGAAGACACTACCACTGAAGAAGTGGACGACACTACCACTGAAGAAGTGGAAGACACTACCACTGAAGAAGTGGAAGACACTACCACTGAAGAAGTGGACGACCTACTACCACTGAAGAAGTGGAAGACACTACCACTGAAGAAGTGGAAGACACTACCACTGAAGAACTGGACGACACTACCACTGAAGAAGTGGACGACACTACCACTGAAGAAGTGGAAGACACTACCACTGAAGAAGTGGAAGACACTACCACTGGAGAAGTGGACGACACTACCACTGAAGAAGTGGAAGACACTACCACTGAAGAAGTGGACGACACTACCACTGAAGAAGTGGAAGACACTACCACTGAAGAAGTGGAAGACTCTACCACTGAAGAAGTGGACGACACTACCACTGAAGAAGTGGAAGACACTACCACTGAAGAAGTGGAAGACACTACCACTGAAGAACTGGACGACACTACCACTGAAGAAGTGGACGACACTACCATTGAAGAAGTGGAAGACACTACCACTGAAGAAGTGGAAGACTCTACCACTGAAGAAGTGGACGACACTACCACTGAAGAAGTGGAAGACTCTACCACTGAAGAAGTGGACGACACTACCACTGAAGAAGTGGACGACACTACCACTGAAGAAGTGGACGACACTACCACTGAAGAAGTGGACGACACTACCACTGAAGAAGTGGAAGACACTACCACTGAAGAAGTGGAAGACTCTACCACTGAAGAAGTGGACGACACTACCACTGAAGAAGTGGAAGACTCTACCACTGAAGAAGTGGACGACACTACCACTGAAGAAGTGGAAGACACTACCACTGAAGAAGTGGAAGACTCTACCACTGAAGAAGTGGACGACACTACCACTGAAGAAGTGGAAGACTCTACCACTGAAGAAGTGGACGACACTACCACTGATGAAGTGGAAGACACTACCACTGAAGAAGTGGAAGACTCTACCACTGAAGAAGTGGACGACACTACCACTGAAGAAGTGGACGACACTACCACTGAAGAAGTGGAAGACACTACCACTGAAGAAGTGGAAGACACTACCACTGAAGAAGTGGACGACACTACCACTGAAGAAGTGGAAGACACTACCACTGAAGAACTGGACGACACTACCACAAAGAAGTGAAGACCTACCATGAAGAAGTGGAAGCACAACCACTGAAAATGGAAGACCTACCACTGAAGAAGGGGACGACACCCCACTGAAAAGTGGAAGACACACCACTGAAGAAGTGGAAGACACTACCAGAAGAAGCGTACCATGATAAAGGTATACCAGATCTAGGTATGCCATGAAAAGTATACCATAAACTAGGTAGGCCATGATAAAGGGAAATCCCAGATAAAGGAGTACCAACCCAGTATGCCATGACAAGGAGTACCGATTGGGTAGGCCATGACTAGGTAGTACCATGATAAAGGGAAACCATGATCAAGGTAACCATGATCAAGGTAGTCCATAAAACACGTAGTACCATGATCAAGGTATACCAGATAAAGGAAGTACCATGACTAGGTAGTACCATGTCAAGATAGTAATGATCACGGAAACCCATGATAAAGGGGTATACCATGATCAAGGAATACCATATCAAGGTAAACCATGATCAAGATAGTACCAGATCTAGGTATACCTGATCAAGGTAGTACCATGACAAGGTATACCATGATCAAGGTATACCAGCTAGGTAGTCCATGTAAAGGGTAGAACCTGATCAAGGTAGAACCATGATCAAGGTAGTACCAGATCAAGGAGTACCAATCAAGGTAAACCATGATCAAGGTGACCAGATCAAGGGTAGACCATGAAAAGGGTAGTACCATGATCAAGGTAGTACCATGCAAGGTATACCATGATCAAGGAGTACCAGATCAAGGTAGTACCATAAAAAGGGTAGTCCCATGATCAAGGTACACCATGAAAGGTAGTACCAGACAAGTAGCACCATGATCAAGATAGTACCATATCAGTATACCATGACAAGGTATACCATGATCTACTTAGTCCCCATGATCAAGGTAGTCCCATATAAAGGGAAAGACCATGACTGGGAGTCCCTTTAAAAAATATACCATGATCAGGTATACCAGACAAGGTAGTCCCATTAAAGGGTATACCATGATAAAGGTAGAACCATGATCAAGATAGTACCATGATCTAGGTGTACCATACAAGGTATACCAGATAAAGGGTAACCATGACAAGGTAACCATGATCTAGGTATACCAAAATCAAGGAAACCAGATCAAGGTAAAAACCCCATGATCAAGGTAGTACCATGATCAAGGTAGTACCATGATCAAGGTAGACAGTCAAGTAGACCATGATAAAGGGTAGTACATGAAAAGGTAGCCCCATGATCAAGGTAGTACCATGACGGGTAGTACCATACAAGGTGAACCATAAAAGGTAGAACCATATCAAGGTAGAACCATATCAAGGTATCCATGATCAAGGTATACCAGATCAAGGTAGTACCATGATAAAGGAAGTACCATGATAAAGGTAGTACCATGATAAAGGGTAGTCCCAGACAGGTAAACCAGATCAAGGTAAACCATGATCAAGGTAACCATGATCAAGGTAGTACCATGATCAAGGTAGTACCATGATCAAGGTAGTACCATGATCAAGGTAGTACCATGATCAAGGTAGTACCATGATCAAGGTAGCAGTGTCATAGAATGGAAACGGGAAAGTGTAAAAATTTTTCGCGGAATATAGCTGCTAAAAAAAACTTTAATACCCTGACCAAACAAGGGATCTGGAAGTAATTATAGACTTATGTCTATAATTACAACAACATCCCATGAATAGTATAGGGAGAAACCGTATTCTGTACTGAATTAAACCTTTTAAGAAGAAAAAAAAAAATTTTTTAGATGGGGGGTTTAATGCTGAAATTTTGGCCCGAGGGACGAGTTTATTGGGCAGCAAACATAACCATACTTAAAAATCCGAAGAAACATTTGGCCAAAATTTGAAGATGTACTGTTTGGTGTCGTGGCCCGAATAGTAGAGAAAGTAGTCAGAATACAATATCACATTGTACTGAAAGGTTTCAAACCGGCAAAACAGTATGAAGAATTAAACAGTGAATTCTGGGTAACTTTATTTGAGACGTTTCATTCCAGTTTTGACGACAGAGCCACTGAACCTCAAATAAAGATACCCGATTTCCATGTTCTGATTCTTCATTATCCACAGTGACACCCAGAGTTATAAAATAAGAATTACGAAGAGGCTGAAAATGCTAAAATTTCCCTCACTGACAGATAGTTGAACATCAAGATAACAAAAGGATGCAGATATAAAACTGGTGTACAATGAAAAAATACAGTAGTTTTTTAGCACATCAAAAAATGAATAAGAATAAACCACAGTTATAAACTAAGAACTGGTGGCAAACGTTCAACAGAAAAATTTTTCTTTAAAAGCACTAGACTGGTAGAATGAGTTCATATTGTGATGGTACAACCACTGGAAACCTTAAAAACTGCAACTTAAAGGCTTATGATAGACTACCAAGAGCGTAGCTCTACTCCTGAAACTACAAATACATAATCTCTCTTATACATATACTCACACACACACACGCACGTCCGTCCCACCAACCAAGTCTGGCTCAACTGACACCGTCGTCTTAATGAAGTCTCTAAGATATCTCTAATGCCTAGAAACAGTGGGTTGTTTGCTGGAGTCTTTCACAAAGAATGTCTTAAGACAAGTTTTCGCAATCAGTTGCTTTCTGCTTGTAGTTTCTCACAAGGACAGTATCTTAGTGTATCTACAGTCTCTCCTAAGCAACTTCTGTCACTGAATATTGCTCTTGATCAACGTCTCACTAACACTGTCTTTCACAAAATAAATGAAAAATCGAGATGATCTTCCTCATGAACAACATCTTGATTCACTTTATCATTCATTTTTAAATATATATTATTTTTGCTTAAATTTAGGTTTAATGCTGCGAATATTTCGGCAGGGTCGAGTACAACGCCGTCTACCCTCGCCCTCTTGCATCTATGTTCCAATCAGCGCTGCAGAAAAGCTTGAGCCTGTCCCCACCTGCAGTGGCCTCCTGCAAACGAAAATATTATAAATTAGTATAATGGATTGATTTACTTAAATATTTCAGATAATGCGTAGATATCAGTGTTCTTTTGGGGGGAAGAAAGGAAGTTCGAAGAGCACCCTGATGACAATAAAATATTTGATGCAAAACTCGCATAACAACACCCACTGTATACCATTATTAGTGCTCAGCACAAGGATGTGGAGTTATGTTGGTGTTGGGGCCATGTCCATATCCATGTCAGGGTTGAGGGAGGTGAACAGGTGGATGCTGAGGCAAAGGCTGCTATTTCGTGTTTACTGAACAGACTACTGCCTCACAGCGACTTCATGGGACAAATAAACAGATGTGTCTTCGGGAAGTTGTAGGACTGTTGTGCCCTAAAGATGAGCAAAAAGTTATGTAGGGCTTGATATTATATGGGTTTTTGGCCCCCTTTTAAGAGGGACCAATACGATTCTTGGTTGAGAAGATCAGGCACATATGCCTCCCCCATAGGTATCTGCTTGCAGGGGCTCCTGTCCCTCCCCATGTGACTTGTGGTGTGCTGCTGAGGAACATTGTTACTGTGTGATCACGGTGTCAGCCTTTTAACTTAGGTCATTTTTTTTCTATAATTACCGGGGTGCCTGTAAGCACCTCTGGGAATACTTTGACACTGTCAGTTTAATTTTTCAACTGATGCCAGTTATTGCAACTTGGTGTTTATCTGTGTTGTGTATTTTGCTCGTGCTCAGTTTTCATTTCTGTTACTGAATTTTACCCCTCGATGTTGTTATGCATGTTTCGTATTTATCTATGTTATTACTAACTGCACTGCTTTATCTAAAAGATCAAAGTGCTCTTCAAATTGCAAACTGTGGGCAGGCGTTTACATGTACTGTACTGTACGCCACTAAACACACCGAGGGGGGAAGAAGTATCTATCTGCAAGCAAGTAACTGTGGATGAGGTATGTGTGTCCTATGCTAAATCTACAAGGAATTATTGAAGTTAAGATTCACGTTGAAGAACAACCAGGCACCTGCATTCTGTTGAACTCTTAATCTGTTGCTCATCTGTAGGGCTCACTGAGCCTGCCACTTCCAAAGAATATAGAGACATATGTCCAGTGAAGTCACTGGGGCAGAAGTCTCCTACAGAGCAAGCTAAAAATAAAAGTCTTTGCCCCAGCATCTTTCCATTTATTTCCCATGACAGTACCATGAACCAGGCACTATCGTAATTCCCTGTCTTTGTGACAGACAGCCATGGATCACTTGGATCACAGGATGGACAAAAGCATACTGGGCAAAGAGCAGTGTGATTTTGGTGATCACCTAAACTGGTTATCAGGGCAAAAGCTTCACAGGAAACAAAAAATACTTGTTTGGTAACTGTGCACAATAAAGATATCAACCAAATCTTTAAATGGGCCACAGAAAACAATATGAAGTTCAATGTTGAGGAATTTCAATTACTCTCATATGGAAAACGTGAGGAAATTAAAACTACATCGGAGTATAAAACGAATTCCAACCACACAATAGAGCGAAAAACTAATGTAAAAGACCTGGGAGTGATCACGTAAGAGGATCTCAACTTCAAAGACCACAACATTGTATCAATCGCATCTGCTAGAAAAATGACAGGATGGATAATGAGAACCTTCAAAACTAGGGATGCCAAGCCCATGATGGCACTCTTCAGGTCATTTGTTCTATCTAGGCTGGAATATTGCTGCACACTAACAGCACCTTTCAAGGCAGGTGAAATTGCTGACCTAGAAAATGTACAGAGAACCTTCACGGCGCACATAACGGAGATAAAACACCTCAATTACTGGGAGCGCTTGAGGTTCCTGAACCTGTACTCCCTAAAACGCAGGTGGGAGAGATACATGATTATATACACTTGGAAAATCCTAGAGGGATTAGTACCAAACCTGCACACGAAAATCACTCCCTATGAAAGCGAAAGGCTCGGCAGACGATGCAACATCCCCCCAATGAAAAACAAGGGTGCCATTAGCACGATAAGAGACAACACAATAAGTGTCAGGGGCTCAAGACCGTTCAACTGCCTCCCAGCATACATAAGGGGAATTACCAACAGACCCCTGGCTGTCTTCAAACAGGCACTGGACAGGCACCTAAAGTCAGTATCTGACCAGCCAGGCTGTGGCTCGTACGTCGGGTTGCGTGCGGCCAACAGTAACAGCCTATGTAAAGTAAAAGGACACAAGTGCAACTAATGTGACATTTATTGTGGCAACGTTTCGCTCTCCAGGAGCTTTATCAAGCCTTGATAAAGCTCCTGGAGAGCGAAACGTTGCCACAATAAATGTCACATTAGTTGCACTTGTGTCCTTTTACTTTACATATTGTCGGTAATTCTACCAACTTTATTACAGTAACAGCCTAGTTGATCAGGTCCTGATCCACCATGAGGCCTTGTCACAGACCGGGCCGGGGGGCGTTAACCCCTCAAACCCTCTACAGGTATACTGCAAACCAAATACCAACATTAGTCTGGAAAAATGATTAGCTCCGTAGTATGGAACAATGTGAAGCTGAGCATAAGAAATCTAGACTGTTGAGATGAACATTTTTCCAGGATGACCACATCAAAAGCTATTTTCCCAAGGTGATGGACTGGTTACATCATCTTTTTCTAGCTACTGCTTCTGCTTCCAGTTTATTTTCCTCGGTATTTGGCTGAAAAAGCCTACTACGTAGGCGAAGTGTTTCAGTCAACAGTAAAGATACCCAACTATTGCACATGTCTTACTCTTCAGTTAATACCTTGATCATTGAAGCATGAACCAATTTATGCTCCAGGAAATTACCAAAGGCCATCACTGGAGCTCGGCACTTAGTGAGTCCCCATCCACTGTTTACAAAGATGCACCTCAAGTACCACTCAAGGAAGCCAGCACGCTTTTTTTTTTTTTTACATAAATCAGTTTTACAGATTAAGAGCTGTTATGTTACCTCAGCTCATTTCAGAGCCCAGCCCTATTTAAGGTATACCACTACCACCCAGGATGCGACCCACAACAGTCGACTAACGCCAAAGAGTTGACAGTCTGCTACTTCTAACTTCCGCAGCAAAGAACAAACAGGAGGGGAGGATTCCGTCAACCAGCAGCAGAGCAGAGTGAACACTGCCCTACAAATCCAGAAAGATAGACCATCTGAAGCCCAGATACATAGAACTGGAAACAGTAAAAGCGTCTATGTCCGAGAAGGTGCTTATATGAACATTATGATAGATGAGGGAACCGCTGTTCAGAATGCTATTATCCATGGAGCTCCAGAAAAACTCCCATCCTATTTAGTATAAAGCGTCCCACGTAGCGTAGTTGGCATTGAAGTCACTCGCGCAGAATGGGAGGGTATCTCACAGATTCGGTCAGCAAGAGTATAGTAGTCTAAAACCCAGTCTGGAGAGAGACACAATGAGCACACGATTAGGTGTTCATGCCAGCTCTCCACTTAATATTTGTATTTATAACTCATTACAATTGTGACCAGGTGTGGATGTATCAGTGGTTCATTACTTTGTAATTTGTTCATGACTGTAACCATGTATAGGAGTGAAGCTGATTCATTACCTCTGTAACTTGCCATGATTAGTGACCAGATCTACCTGGAGTTCATTACCTTTGTAACTAGTTCAGCTATCATAACTTTGGGGTCCAGTCACTGGACCCATTATGTACCTTTGTAATCTTTTGACTACCGCCCACAGGATGGGTATGGGGTGCATAAAGATATTAAACTAAAGTGTGTGTGTGTGTGTGTGTGTGTGTGTGTGTGTGTGTGTGTGTGTGTGTGTGTGTTGTGTGTGTGTGTGTTGTGTGTGTGTGTGTGTTTGTGGTTGTGTGACTCAACAATCAATATTTGCACCAATAACTCATTACAGTTGTGACCGGGTGTGGAAGTGTGAATTGCTCATTACTCTATAATTTGTTCATGATTGTAGCCAAAGTATAAACGTAAGTAACCATTCTACAGAATTCATTACCTTTGTAACTTGTGAGCTCATTACCTTTGTACCTAGTTCAGCTATCAAAACTTTGGGGGCCCAGTCCCTGGACCCATTACGTACCTCTGTAATCTGTAAATACCTTTGTAGCTTGTCATGATTGTGACCAGACTTACCTGGAGTTCATTACCTTTGTAAATTGTGAGTTCATTACCTTTGTAAATTGTGAGTTCATTACCTTTGTAAATTGTGAGTTCATTACCTTTGTAAATTGTGAGTTCATTACCTCTGTAACTTGCTCAGCTATCAAAACTTTGGAGTCCAGTCCCTGGACCAATTATGTACCTCTGTAATCTCTTGACTACCGCCCACAGGATGGGTATGGGGTGCATAATAAACATATTAAACTAACTAACTAAACCAGCTCACCCAGACGGTCACACTGCAGGGAGAGGTAATGACAAGAACCAAGATAATCACCCAGTGAACCTCGACAAATGCGCCAGGAGGCGCAGTTGCATTAAAAGGGATACAAGGAATCCAGGGACAAGTACATTACCCCGAGTCCAAGACCTAGTCCAAGACAGATCAAATGTCTCGAGAACGAGGTCAAGACGAAACATACTAGACGAAGAGTGAGACCAATATACCGTATTTTCATTTTGGCCAGTCTTATATGACCAATCTTATAAACTAAATAAATTTTTACTAGCACAACAATAATAATAATAATAATAATAATAATAATAATAATAATAATAATAATAATAATAATAATAATAATAATAACAACCACAAAAAATTAGTTCTTGAAAGTTGTATTTATGATAAACAAAAAGCAAAGTTTTTAACAAAATAAGGTAGAAGAAGGTGCACGCCAGTGCTAGTAACCAACAATGGTATACGTAACTACAGGTAAATTTCTCATGTAATAATTCATATGTGCCTTCGTTTACCTACTCTATTATTTGGATAACTGCTGAATACATTAGTGATTGACATTAAAGTGTGAAAATGTAATTAACTACAAGGCAGCCATGAAAAATGTTTCTGTTTAGAGTTAAGTAAGTAAGTAAGTAAGTTTATTCAGGTATACACAAATAAAGTTACATAGAATTATCATACATAGCAGCATATGTGTAGAGAACCTGGGATAACACAAAAAAGTCAGACAGAGTGACTTATTTCCATTGAGGTCCTTGAGTTGATAGAGGCATTACAGCATAGGTTGTACCTGCTCTGTCATGTACTGTTAAGACGTAAAGGCTTCGAAGACAGACATGAAGAGAATATTAATGAGCTGTTAGATGGGGATGAAGAGCCCAGAGGTTGATGAAGAATCATTAGATGAGAATAATGGTGAAAGAAGACCCTGGAAATTAACAGCCAACAACCTAACAGTGACGCGAGCAATTCGTTCTGACAAGAACCCTGACACAGAAGAATTGCTGGGAAGCAGAGTTATCATGTCTGACCAAAAGTAGGGGAAGCTAGCTCCAATTCCTTTGATCAAGAGGCCTTCACTGGCAAGGGTATCCGTGTTAGTGTTGTAAGGGTAAGGAAGACATACTTGGTGCGATTGTCGACAGCCAAGAGGAGCGTGTCACCCCGCAGTAGCAGCAGATGGCCTGCCAACACTGCTGTTACCGATCCTTCTCCCAGTGATCCCGACCACTCCAGTCGACGACTGTGGAGAGACAGTGTCTAGGATACTATCATCATTTTTATCTATGCAGTTAAATTACATACTATCTTAACTATTACATACTATATATCTTAACTATTACATGTATTAATGGCTCTGGGAACCATCGCCCTCTAAGAAGGTCCCCAGAATTGGACAGTAAATATTACTGGATTAAAAACTATTAAGTAAAACAGAAAAATACAGGTAAGTTTATAATGAATGCAAGGAATTTTTTTTAAGATCCACCTGCCATATTTTATATTAATGAGATAGAGAACAAAACAGCAGTTCTGCCAAAGCACAAAATATTTATCAACCTGTAATGTATATCTGTAAATTTGGAGTTTGTTTAGCGTTCAGTTATTGACGTTTTAAGTTAAGTTATCACAAGAAATATCTTTAATTATCTGACAGCTGAGAAAATATCTAGACCCTAAATCGTAAGAACCCATAACTATATATATATATATATATATATATATATATATATATATATATATATATATATATATATATATATTTATAGGGAGGTACCACCTCTAGAACTGTTATAGGGACCCTCATCCTCAGAGAAAAGAATGAACTTGCTTCAGGGGAAACTCAAGGTTCTCCCTGAAGCTGTTTGAGAATTTTCTCCTACCATCCCCTATATTTTATATATATATTTTATTTAAAGACAAAATACATTGACAAAACATTCACAAAAATACGATAGAAAGCAAAACAACATAGGTAACTCAGAGCTACATCTCGAATACTTCCTCCAGCTCCCCGGCGGTGGGCCGCGTGCCCAGAATGCTGCAGGCATTTCCTCTCTGGATCGCAACACTGAGTCTCTGAAAGAGGAAGCTGGTCGCCCTGTGGTCCTTGGTTTCTATGATGAGCTTTTCACCCAGCTCTATTAGGAACCTTAGAGTACACTTGCCCCATGCTCCAAGGGTCTCTGACCCTATTGGGATGAAGTTATAGCAAGGGGGAAGGTCTTCATATTTGCGGATCTTCTGGGTCTCCCTGTGGCTGGCAGTTCCACCCCCTTCAACTACGGAGTATGGCAAGTAGGTGTCTGCCAATGTGGCGGCACATGTGTAGTCCCAGGCAATCAGCTTTCCATCCTTCCAAGGTAGCATAGTGGCTCCATCAGGACGCTTTAGACTTCCATCAGACCTCTGCACTTGGGGTTCCCGTTGAGCTGGGCAACGGCCTGTGGCGAGGCTTCTCTTTATGATGTCATTGACCTCCTCATGCCTGGCATACTGTATGATAGGTTCGATATATTTGTGATATATTTGTGAGGGGATAGTGAATAAACTACTTATTATTACGAGGGAAGGAAGTGTTTATACATTTTGGTAAGTGCACCCATCCATCCATCCCTCTCACTTGCTCAATGTCTGCAGTTGGAAATTTGCTGCTAACCAGGGAGAATCTGAGCAGTTGCTCTGTCTCCCTTAACACAGCCTCACATACAATTACTTTACTTAACCCTCGTAAATTTTGAGGCTTGGAGTTTCTGAACATTGTCTTGTCTACAATCTATGCTCAATGTGCATACTCTGTTATTTTAATAACATTGTTGATATGACTGATAAGAGGAAAAGGTGTCACTCTGAACTTCGGCCAGGGTAACCATAAAATGCTGCTACAGCTTCATTAACATATCATTTATCATTTGGATTTAATTTCTACACCTTGAGAGATGCACCAGCACTAGGTCATGTGTGAATCAGACAGCATTCTGTGTTTGCGAGAGGCGATGTGGATCAATCTCTGATTTTGTCTTTTTAATGCACCTGTCTTGTGTGGACAGTTCTGTCAACTAATCTATTACAATAAATGTCAAAAGATATAATTAATAATTAGTGCTGAAGAAAAATAAGTCATAATAACACACCTGGAAAAATTCAAAACTACTCCACAATTTGCAGAGGAAACTGGAAGTCCTCATCAAATTGTGGGTTTCTAATTTACTATTGTAATTGTAGCAGGTAATGCAGATACTGACCTGTTCTTGGAACAGTGCGTAATACAGAGGTAGACACTGATGTCCTTGAGCGGCCTGAGGGGTGTGTTGGGTCTGCCTCGTGGGTGTAATACCAGTGATGCTGCCACCTGGTATATACCTTTCTTAGTGACTGTGAAGCCTCCGTGCTCCACCACCATTCTTCTCTCAAACACACCCGGCGAGAATGTCTGCAGCGGGGCAAGACAACTTAATATGAGGTCCAAATAGAGTTTAATAATGAAGAACAGTCATAGGACTGTACAGGATGATTAAGTGATGAAAAAGTATGTGAGAGTAAGGTAGCTACAAGTTACAGCAAAGTACGCAGGAGAATACAGGAGAAAAATATACAGGGATGTGAGGGGAAGAAAATACTTAGTTTCAGGGAGAACCCAAGATTTTTCTCTTAAGTCCTTTCATTTTCTTCACTGAGGATGCGGTCGCCAACTAATACTAAAGGTGGTGCCCACCTATTTAATGCGCAAGCGTGCACAACAAATGCGCGAATGGGCGCGCACACACACACACACACACACACACACACACACACACACACACACACACACACACACACACACACACACACACACACACACACACACACACACACACACACAAACACACACACACTACCAGAGAGTGAGGGGAGGACGAACCAGTAAGAGTGGACGTCGTGTTTACCCTGAGCAGCTCGGACAGTGAGGACATCACATATGAAAGGCCCCTTGGAGCTAGTGATCACGTGGTTCTGAGCTTTGAATACATAGTAGAGTTACAAGTGGAGAGGGTAACAGGAGTAGATTGGGAAAACCCAAACTATAAAAGGGGGGGCTACACAGGTATGAGGAACGTCCTGTAGGAGGTTCAGTGAGAAAGAGAATTGGTAGGAAAGTCAGTAAACGAAATGATGGACTATGTGACAACAAATTGCAGGGAGGTAGAGGAATGGTTTTTCCCCAAGGGCAACAGAAATAATGGGAAGACCAGAACGAGTCCTTGGTTTACCCGAAGGTGTAGGGAGGCAAACACTAAATGCACTAGAGAATGGAAAAAGTACAAAAGGCAAAGGACCCAGGAAAATAATGAGATTTGTCGAAGAGCCAGAAACGAGTATGCACAGATAAGGAGGGAGGCTCAGCGACAGCACGAAAACAATATAGCATCGAAAGTCAAGTCTGATCCGAAACTGCTGTAGAGCCACATTAGGAGGAAGACGACAGTCAAAGACCAGGTAATCTGGCTGAGGAAAGAAGGTGGGGAGCTCACAAGAAACGACCAAGAGGTATGTGAGTAGCTCAGCACGAGATTTAAGAAAGTATTTACAGTGGAGACATGGGATATACCAACAAGTGTTGGACGAAATACACACAACTGACGAGGAGGTGAAGAAGCTGCTAAGTGACCATGATACCTCAAAGACGGTGGGACCGGACAACATCTCTTCTTGAGCCCTTAGAGAGGGAACAGAGATGCTGTGTATGCCACTAACTACAATTTTCAACACACCCTTTGAAACTGGGCAACTACTTGAGGTGTGGAAGACGGCAAATGTAGCCCCCATTTTTAAGAAAGGAGACAGAAACGAGGCACTAAACTATAGACCTGTGTCACTGGCGTGTATAGTATGCAAAGTCATGGAGAAGATTATCAGGAGGAGAGTTGTGGAGCACCTGGAACGGAACAAGATTATAAACAACAACCAGCACGGATTCATATAAGGCAAATCCTGTGTCACAAACCTTCTGGAGTTTAATGACAAGGTAACAGAAGTAAGAGACGCGAGAGAGGGGTGGATTGAGTGCATTTTCTTGGACTACAAGAAGGCCTTCGACACAGTTCCCCACAAGAGATTAGTGCAGAAGTTAGAGGATCAGGCACATATAACAGGAAGGACACTGCAATGGATCAAAGAATACCTGACAGGGAGGCAACAACGAATCATGGTACGTGATGAGGTATCACAGTGGGCGCATGTGACGAGCGGGGTCCCACAGGGGTCAATCCTAGGACCAGTGCTATTCTTGGTACATGTGAATGACATGATGGAAGGGATAGACTCTGAAGTTTCCCTGTTCACAGATCATGTGAAGTTAATAAGGAGAATTAAATCAGATGAGAATCAGGCAGGACTACAAAGAGACCTGGACAGGCTGGACACCTGGTCCAGCAACTGGCTCCTCGAATTTAACGCCGCCAAATGCAAAGTTATGAAGATCGGGGAAGGGCAAAGAAGACCGCAGACAGAGTATAGGCTAGGTGGCCAAAGACTGCAAACCTCACTCAAGGAGAAAGATCTTGGGGTGAGTATAATACCGAGCACGTCTCCGGAAGCACACATCAACCAGATAATTGCTGCAGCATATGGGCGCCTGGCAAACCTGAGAATAGCGTTCCGATACATTAGTAAGGAATCTTTCAAGACTCTGAACACCATGTACGTCAGGCCCATACTGGAGTACGCAGCGCCAGTTTGGAACCCACACCTGGTCAAAAGCACGTCAAGAAATTTGATAAACTGCAAAGGTTTGCAAAAGGCTGGTACCAGAGCTAAGGAGAATGTCCTACGAAGAAAGGTTAAAGGAAATCGTCCTGACGACACTGGAGGATAGGAGGGTTAGGAGAGACATGATAGCGACATACGAAATACTGCGAGGAATAGATAAGGTGGACAGAGGCAAGATGTTCCAGAGATGGGACACAGAACTAATGGGTCACAACTGGAAGTTAAGACTCAGATGAGTCAAAGGGATGTTAGGAAGAATTTCTTCAGTCATAGAGTTGTCAGGAAGTGAGGTAGTGGAGGCAGGAACCATACATAGTTTTAAGACGAGGCATGACAAAGCTCATGGAGCAGGGAGAGAGAGGACCTAGTAGCAATCAGTGAAGAGGAGGGGTCAGGCAGGAGCTGAGTCTCGACCCCTGCAACAACAAATAGGTGAGTACACACACACACACACACACACACACACACACACACACACACATGAACGGAAAATCACAGTAGAAATTATCTATACATTTCTGATTCAGAGACTCTTCTACATGCAGTTCATCTTCCTAATCAACTACGTTGATTATATATATATATATATATATATATATATATATATATATATATATATATATATATATATATATATATATGTTGATGTATATATACGTTGATATATATATATATATATATAATATATATATATATATATATATATATATATATATATATATATATATATTATATATATATATATATATATATATATATATATATAATATATATATAAATATATATATATATATATTATATATATATATATATATATGTCGTGCCGAATAGGTAAAATTGGTTAATTAGCAAAAACTCATTTAAAATTAAGTCCATTCTAAAATTTTCTCTTATCATTTATGTTAATGTAAATTTAGTGATTTTGTACTAAAAGAATCTTATAAAACTTACCTAATTTAGTTTAGCTTAATTCAACTAAATATATTTTAGATTAAGTTTACAATAATTTAATAATAAACAAACACAATAAAATATATTTTCCGTTAGGTTCAGAATTATTTTTTTTGCGAAATTCTTGCATACACAAATTTTCGCTCTCCTTATTCGCCAATTTAAGCCAAAATCTCAAGTTTAACTTATTCGACACGACATTTTATATATATATATATATATATATATATATATAATATATATATATATATTATATATATATATATATATATATATATATATATATATATATATATAATGGTAGTAGGTTGGTAGACAGCAACCACCCAGGGAAGTACTACCGTCCTGCCAGATGACTGTGAAACAGAAACCTGTAACTGTTTTTCATGATGGTAGGATTGCTGGTTTCTTTTTCTGTCTCATAAACACGCTAGATAACAGGGATATCTTGCTACTCCTACTTACACTTTGGTCACACTTCACAGACACGCACATGCATATATATATATATATATATATATATATATATATATATATATATATATATATATATATATATATATATATATATATATATATATATATAATATATATATATATATATATATATATATATATATACATCTAGGTTTTTCTCCTTTTTCTAAATAGCTCTTGTTCTTCTTTATTTCTTCTATTATCCATGGGGAAGCGGAAAAGAATCTTTCCTCCGTAAGCCATGCGTGTCGTATGAGGCGACTAAAATGCCGGGAGCAATGGGCTAGTAACCCCTTCTCCTGTAGACATTTACTAAAAAAGAGAAGAAGAAAAACTTTATAAAACTGGGATGCTTGAATGTGCGTGGATGTAGTGCAGATGACAAGAAACATGATTGCTGATGTTATGAATGAAAAGAAGTTGGATGTCCTGGCCCTAAGCGAAACAAAGCTGAAGGGGGTAGAGGAGTTTCGGTGGGGGGAAATAAATAGGATTAAATCTGGAGTATCTGAGAGAGTTAGAGCTAAGGAAGGAGTAGCAGTAATGTTGAAGGATCAGTTATGGAAGGAGAAAAGAGAATATGAATGTGTAAATTCAAGGATTATGTGGATTAAAGTAAAGGTTGGATGCGAAAAGTGGGTCATAATAAGTGTGTATGCACCTGGAGAAGAGAGAAATGTAGAGAAGAGAGAGAGATTTTTGGGAGATGTTAAGTGAATGTATAGGAACCTTTGAACCAAGTGAGAGAGGAATTGTGGTAGGGGACCTGAATGCTAAAGTAGGAGAAACTTTTAGAGAGGGTGTGGCAGGTAAATTTGGGGTGCCAGGTGTAAATGGTAACGGGAGCCCTTTGATTGAACTTTGTATAGAAAGAGGTTTAATTATAGGTAATACATATTTTAAGAAAAAGAGGATAAATAAGTATACAAGATATGATACAGGGCGAAATGACAGTAGTCTGTTGGATTATGTATTTGTAGATAAAAGACTGTTGAGTAGACTTCAGGATGTACATGTTTATAGAGGGGCTACAGATATATCAGATCACTTTTTAGTTGTAGCTACACTGAGAGTAAAAGGTAGATGGGATACAAGGAGAATAGAAGCATCAGGGAAGAGAGAGGTGAAGGTTTATAAACTAAAAGAGGAGGCAGTTAGGGTAAGATATAAACAGCTATTGGAGGATAGATGGGCTAATGAGAGCATAGGCAATGGAGTCGAAGAGGTATGGGGTAGGTTTAAAAATGTAGTGTTAGAGTGTTCAGCAGAAGTTTGTGGTTACAGGAAAGTGGGTGCAGGAGGGAAGAGGAGCGATTGGTGGAATGATGATGTAAAGAGAGTAGTAAGGGAGAAAAAGTTAGCATATGAGAAGTTTTTAGAAAGCAGAAGTGATGCAAGGAGGGAAGAGTATATGGAGAAAAAGAGAGAGGTTAAGAGAGTGGTGAAGCAATGTAAAAAGAGAGCAAATGAGAGAGTGGGTGAGATGTTATCAACAAATTTTGTTGAAAATAAGAAAAAGTTTTGGAGTGAGATTAACAAGTTAAGGAAGCCTATAGAACAAATGAATTTGTCAGTTAAAAATAGGAGAGGAGAGTTATTAAATGGAGAGTTAGAGGTATTGGGAAGATGGAGGGAATATTTTGAGAAATTGTTAAATGTTGATGAAGATAGGGAAGCTGTGATTTCGTGTATAGGGCAAGGAGGAATAACATCTTGTAGGAGTGAGGAAGAGCCAGTTGTGAGTGTGGGGGAAGTTCGTGAGGCAGTAGGTAAAATGAAAGGGGGTAAGGCAGCCGGGATTGATGGGATAAAGATAGAAATGTTAAAAGCAGGTGGGGATATAGTTTTGGAGTGGTTGGTGCAATTATTTAATAAATGAATGGAAAAGGGTAAGGTACCTAGGGATTGGCAGAGAGCGTGCATAGTTCCTTTGTATAAAGGCAAAGGGGACAAAAGAGAGTGCAAAAATTATAGGGGGATAAGTCTGTTAAGTATACCTGGTAAAGTGTATGGTAGAGTTATAATTGAAAGAATTAAGAGTAAGACGGAGAATAGGATAGCAGATGAACAAGGAGGCTTTAGGAAAGGTAGGGGGTGTGTGGACCAGGTGTTTACAGTGAAGCATATAAGTGAACAGTATTTAGATAAGGCTAAAGAGGTTTTTGTGGCATTTATGGATTTGGAAAAGGCGTATGACAGGGTGGATAGGGGGCAATGTGGCAGATGTTGCAGGTGTATGGTGTAGGAGGTAGGTTACTGAAAGCAGTGAAGAGTTTTTACGAGGATAGTGAGGCTCAAGTTAGAGTATGTAGGAAAGAGGGAGATTATTTCCCAGTAAAAGTAGGCCTTAGACAAGGATATGTGATGTCACCGTGGTTGTTTAATATACTTATAGATGGGGTTGTAAGAGAAGTAAATGCGAGGGCCTTGGCAAGAGGTGTGGAGGTAAAAGATAAAGAATCACACATAACGTGGGAGTTGTCACAGTTGCTCTTTGCTGATGACACTGTGCTCTTGGGAGATTCTGAAGAGAAGTTGCAGAGGTTGGTGGATGAATTTGGTAGGGTATGCAAGAGAAGAAAATTAAAAGCGAATACAGGAAAGAGTAAGGTTATGAGGATAAGAAAAAGATTAGGTGATGAAAGATTGGATATCAGATTGGAGGGAGAGAGTATGGAGGAGGTGAATGTATTCAGATATTTGGGAGTGGACGTGTCAGCGGATGGGTCTATGAAAGATGACGTGAATCATAGAATTGATGAGGGGAAAAGGGTGAGCCGTGCACTTAGGAGTCTGTGGAAACAAAGAACTTTGTCCTTGGAGGCAAAGAGGGGAATGTATGAGAGTATAGTTTTACCAACGCTCTTATATGGGTGTGAAGCATGGGTGATGAATGTTGCAGCGAGGAGAAGGCTGGAGGCAGTGGAGATGTCATGTCTGAGGGCAATGTGTGGTGTGAATATAATGCAGAGAATTCGTAGTTTGGAAGTTAGGAGGAGGTGCGGGATTACCAAAACTGTTCTCCCGAGGGCTGAGAAAGGGTTGTTGAGGTGGTTCGGACATGTAGAGAGAATGGAGCGAAACAGAATGACTTCAAGAGTGTATCAGTCTGTAGTGGAAGGAAGGCGGGGTAGGGGTCAGCCTAGGAAAGGTTGGAGGGAGGGGGTAAAGGAGGTTTTGTGTGCGAGGGGCTTGGACTTCCAGCGGGCATGCGTGAGCGTGTTTGATAGGAGTGAATAGAGACAAATGGTTTTTAATACTTGACATGCTGTTGGAGTGCGAGCAAAGTAACATTTATGAAGGGATTCAGGGAAACCGGCAGGCCGGACTTGAGTCCTGGAGATGGGAAGTACAGTGCCTGCACTCTGAAGGAGGGTGTTAATGTTGCAGTTTAAAAACTGTAGTGTAAAGCACCCTTCTGGCAAGACAGTGATGGAGTGAATGATGGTGAAAGTTTTTTTTTCGGGCCACCCTGCCTTGGTGGGAATCGGGCAGTGTGTTAATAAACAATATATATATATATATATAATATATATATTATATATATATATATATATATATATATATATATATATATATATATATATAATGATATGTATGAATGAGGTACTTACGATAGTGAAGGCGTCGACTATAGCTAGAGTAGATGGCTTGAGGAGTGTGGGCTGGGGCATGGTGGCAGTAAAGGCAGCCTTGACTCTCATTCGGCTGGTCCTCTCCAGGCTATCATCCGCTAAGTTCACCTCGCTCACAGTCTTGTTCTGTTGCAGGAAGTCTGTGTGGACAAAACTTTGAAATAACTCAGGTTCACTTGGAAGATTTGATCACTCTGTAAGACGCGAGTCAATACCAACTCGAGAATAACAATATGTTAAGTGTTCATACTGTGAACTGATCTAAAATTCCGCCTCAAGATTTTCTTACTTTTCACTACTAGAAACGAACCGTTATTACTCAGTTCAGTAGACAAGAGAATCAAGAAACTCCATTATTATTTATTGGTATAATTAAAATAAAATTATTTCTTTGTGTAGTATACAAACTGTAATTTACATGTAATAAGTACTGTTAGGCACACAGAAAGTCACTACATGCATGGGCACTCCGGGCAGTGTAATATTTTGCTTCAAGTCCCACTTAAACGCCAAGACTTGTAATAGTTAAAGATTAAGGCGCAAAACATTGTAATACAATACTTTTTTTTGTAAAGCTAACAGTTCAGAGAAAGTGGCGAAGACATCAAATCTTACCTCTTAGATAATCTTTAATATATTCTTCCATCTCACGAGTGCTGAGGCTGCCACCAGGAGGACCTGGTGGTCCCTGAGGACCACGGCGACCTGGAGGTCCTTCCGGTCCTTCCCGGGGCAGACGAATTTGGTTATTCCTGTTAGGTCTATTTTTTTTCTTCTCCTTCCGGGCCAACTTTGTGCGCTCAGAGTTGTTAAGGAAGGCGATAAAGGCCTTTCTGGCGTTGTATAGTGGAGTAGGAGAGGCGGCTCTCTGTGGGATGAATGAAACACATGTATATACCGATATAATGTGTCAACCATACACTAACCATATAATAATAATAATAATATTAATAATAATAATAATAATAATAATAATAATAATAATAATAATAATAATAATAATAATAACAACAATAATTTCTACGAGTACATAATACAACTCATACAAACGTAGCTGACGTCAGTGACATACTGTATAGAAAGCCCCTGGTTATGCAGAGCATTTCGGGCAACTTGGGCTAATTTTGTCCCCAGGATGCGATCCATTCCAGTTGGCTAACACCCAGGTACCTACTTACTGCTAGGTATAAGGGCACAGCAGGTATCTTAAGGAAACACGCCCAATGTTTCCCCCGGTACCGGAGATCGAACCACGGACACTCAGTGCGTGAGCTGAGTGCGCTACCAACCGAGCTAGGGGACACCTGTGCTTAAGCAACCCACATTCAACTGTACAGAAATAACACAAATATTTTCGCTCTACTGGAGAACTGCCTGGTTGACCAGGCAACCACCAGATGAGCCTGGTTGACCAGGCAACCACCAGATGAGCCTGGTTGACCAGGCAACCACCAGATGAGCCTGGTTGACCAGGCAAGCACAAGATGAGCCTGGTTGACCAGGCAACCACCAGATGAGCCTGGTTGACCAGGCAACCACCAGATGAGCCTGGTTGACCAGGCAACCACCAGATGAGCCTGGTTTTACCAGGCAACCACCAGATGAGCCTGGTTGACCAGGCAAGCACCAGATGAGCCTGGTTGACCAGCAACCACCAGATGAGCCTGGTTGACCAGGCAACCACCAGATGAGCCTGGTTGACCAGGCAACCACCAGATGAGCCTGGTTGACCAGGCAAGCACCAGATGAGCCTGGTTGACCAGGCAACCACCAGATGAGCCTGGTTGACCAGGCAAGCACCAGATGAGCCTGGTTGACCAGGCAACCACCAGATGAGCCTAGTTGACCAGGCAACCACCAGATGAGCCTGGTTGACCAGGCAAGCACCAGATGAGCCTGGTTGACCAGGCAAGCACCAGATGAGCCTGGGTTTACCAGGCAAGCACCAGATGAGCCTGGTTGATCAGGCAAGCACCAGATGAGCCTGGTTGACCGGCAAGCACCAGATGAGCCTGGTTGACCAGGCAAGCACCAGAAGAGCCTGGTTGATCAGGCAAGCACCAGATGAGCCTGGTTGACCAGGCAAGCACCAGATGAGCCTGGTTGACCAGGCAAGCACCAGATGAGCCTGGTTGACCAGGCAAGCACCAGATGAGCCTGGTTGACCAGGCAAGCACCAGATGAGCCTGGTTGATCAGGCAAGCACCAGATGAGCCTGGTTGACCAGGCAACCACCAGATGAGCCTGTTGACCAGGCAAGCACCAGATGAGCCTGGTTGACCAGGCAAGCACCAGATGAGCCTGGTTGACCAGGCAACCACCAGATGAGCCTGGTTGACCAGGCAAGCACCAGATGAGCCTGGTTGATCAGGCAAGCACCAGATGAGCCTGGTTGACCAGGCAAGCACCAGATGAGCCTGGTTGACCAGGCAAGCACCAGATGAGCCTGGTTGACCAGGCAAGCACCAGATGAGCCTGGTTGACCAGGCAAGCACCAGATGAGCCTGGTTGATCAGGCAAGCACCAGATAGCCTGGTTGACCAGGCAACCACCAGATGAGCCTGGTTGACCAGGCAACCACCAGATGAGCCTGGTTGACCAGGCAAGCACCAGATGAGCCTGGTTGACCAGGCAACCACCAGATGAGCCTGGTTGACCAGGCAAGCACCAGATGAGCCTGGTTGATCAGGCAAGCACCAGATGAGCCTGGTTGACCAGGCAAGCACCAGATGAGCCTGGTTGACCAGGCAACCACCAGATGAGCCTGGTTGACTAGGCAAGCACCAGATGAGCCTGGTTGACCAGGCAACCACCAGATGAGCCTGGTTGACCAGGCAACCACCAGATGAGCCTGGTTGACCAGGCAAGCACCAGATGAGCCTGGTTGATCAGGCAAGCACCAGATGAGCCTGGTTGACCAGGCAAGCACCAGATGAGCCTGGTTGACCAGGCAACCACCAGATGAGCCTGGTTGACCAGGCAAGCACCAGATGAGCCTGGGCCAAAGCCGGGATCTGAGAGTATAAAAACTCTCGGAACTCTTCACAGGCATATCACAGGTATGCAGACATGTCAGGTGGACACGGAAGAAGGCAGTCTACTGGCTCACGCCAAGCCACTTCTCCAGAATTTAAACATCTCAAAAATTATCTAACCATTTTAGTGGTGATTAAATTGTAAATTTCACTGACATTGTCTAAAGTATTACTTTTTACCATATTTACTAAACCCCGTGAACACCGTGCACAGTGCTGTCAACGACCCCTCCCCCTCCCCGTGCACAGTGCTGTCAACGACCCCTCCCCCTCCCCCCGTGCACAGTGCTGTCCAACGACCCCTCCCCCTCCCCGTGCACAGTGCTGTCAACGACCCCTCCCCCTCCCCGTGCACAGTGCTGTCAACGACCCCTCCCCCTCCCCGTGCACAGTGCTGTCAACGACCCCTCCCCCTCCCCGTACACAGTGCTGTCAACGACCTCTCCCCTCCCCGTGCACAGTGCTGTCAACGACCCTTCCCCCTCCCCGTGCACAGTGCTGTCAACGACCCTTCCCCCTCCCCGTGCACAGTGCTGTCAACGACCCTTCCCCCTCCCCGTGCACAGTGCTGTCAACGAGCACAGTGCTGTCAACGACCCCTCCCCCTCCCCGTGCACAGTGCTGTCAACGACCTCTCCCCCCTTCCCGTGCACAGTGCTGTCAACGACCCCTCCCCCTCCCCGTGCACAGTGCTGTCAACGACCCTTCCCCCTCCCCGTGCACAGTGCTGTCAACGACCCCTCCCCCTCCCCGTGCACAGTGCTGTCAACGACCCCTCCCCCTCCCCGTGCACAGTGCTGTCAACGACCTCTCCCCCTCCCCGTGCACAGTGCTGTCAACGACCTCTCTCCCCCTCCCCGTGCACAGTGCTGTCAACGACCCCTCCCCCTCCCCGTGCACAGTGCTGTCAACGACCCCTCCCCCTCCCCGTGCACAGTGCTGTCAACGAACCCTCCCCCTCCCCGTGCACAGTGCTGTCAACGAGCCCTCCCCCTCCCTGTGCACAGTGCTGTCAACGACCCCTCCCCCTCCCCGTGCACAGTGCTGTCAACGAACCCTCCCCCTCCCCGTGCACAGTGCTGTCAACGAGCCCTCCCCCTCCCCGTGCACAGTGCTGACAACGAGCCCTCCCCCTCCCCGTGCACAGTACTGTCAACGAGCCCCCCCCCTCCCCGTGCACAGTACTGTCAACGAGCCCTCCCCCTCCCCGTGCACAGTGCTGTCAACGAACCCTCCCCCTCCCCGTGCACAGTACTGTAAACGAACCCTCCCCCTCCCCGTGCACAGTACTGTAAACGAACCCTCCCCCTCCCCGTGCACAGTACTGTAAACGAACCCTCCCCCCTCCCGTGCACAGTGCTGTAAACGAACCCTCCCCCCTCCCCGTGCACAGTACTGTAAACGAACCCTCCCCCTCCCCGTGCACAGTACTGTAAACGAACCCTCCCCCTCCCCGTGCACAGTGCTGTAAACGAACCCTCCCCCTCCCCGTGCACAAGTACTGTAAACGAACCCTCCCCCTCCCCGTGCACAGTACTGTAAACGAACCCTCCCCCTCCCCGTGCACAGTGCTGTAAACGAACCCCCCCTCCCCGTGCACAGTGCTGTAAACGAACCCTCCCCCTCCCCGTGCACTGTGTATAAACAAACTCAATCCACCCTCGTGCACCGTTTGTAAGGGACACGACCTTCACTGGAGCTTTTGGTCATCTGACCGAGGCCTCCCGTTCGTTTACCGATCTGCCCCTTAAAAAATTTGTTATAATTGTTTTGTTCCCCCTAACCCCCCCCCCAGTGCACCGTGCACCACACTGAACCCCGTGTGACCTTGTCAGGAAGGACTTGGTTACCTCGTGCAACTGAGATGTGTCAGGTTATATTATTACACACTATTAATAACCTTCTCCTGCCGACGAGGGTATCACAATGTGGTCTAGCTAATAAGTTTATCTAAGTGAATACTCAACAGCAGTACTCAACAGCAGTACTCAACAGCAGTACTCAAAAGCAGTATTCAACGGCAGTCCTAGCGTACTCACCTATATGTGGTTGCTGGAGTCAAGTCACACCTGGCCAGTACTCAAGAGCTGCCCTAGTGTGAATTACTGACCTGTCAAGTATTCAAAAACAGTTCTAGCGTGTACTCCCGAGCTGTCCAGTACTCAGCAGCAGCCCTAGTGTGTACTCCCGACCTGTTCAGTACTCAGCAGTAGTCCTAGTTTACTCCCAACCTGTCCAGTACTCAACAAGAGTTCTAGTGCGTATTCCCGGCCTGTCCAGTATTCAGCAGCTGTCCTAGTGTGTACTCCCGACCTGTCCAGTACTCAAGAGTACTAGTGTGCCTGAATGCTCGTAAACGTTTCAATGAGATTCTTCTTGGTAGTCTCGAGTTTATTTACTTCTCGTCTTCACATCAGGAAAATTCTGTCGTCTAAGATTTACCGTAAACTCGACTTTACTAAAGCTCGGTTGACATCCAGGAAAAAAAAAAAAGGTTTTGCCATTTTTTAAGGAAAGATTACGTCATAAGTTGGAAAATGGTGACTTGTAGTATTTAGATGTAAAACAGTACTTGGAACGGTGCTAACTGCCTGCTTCGACGTCAATAAATTTAATTTATGCAACCCGGAACTTATATTCATATTGCAATCAATGCTCTGCATTTGTTTTTCATGAAGGTCGATTCAGTTACAATTTGCTCAGCCACGGAGTTGCTTGATGCAAGGTTAATAATACATTCGCTGTGTCTGGCCACTTGGCTTTGGTCAGGTCAGGTTAGGTAAGGTTCGATAGACACATGTGCAACACTTGGAAATCTTTAATGAGGAAACGT